CACTAGGCACACAAAAACGGTTTAAGTATTAAAGGAATCGTAGTAAACAAAGGGTAGCATTGGAGCGCGATTGTGATTGTATTAACGATTGACGCCCTGCGACGCGCGACGAAGTCTAAACGCCGCCTCATAGGCACCATGAAAATTTGACTCATGGTCAGTACTTTTGAGCACTGTGCTTCCACTGTCCGTAAAGCATCAGGCACATACAAACTGGCTGGTATTCCCTTGGTTGGCCGACTCTACATACTGTAGCACTTTTACGTTGGAAATAATTAGATCCTGGTGCAAGTGTCGCCTACGCGACGTCACTGGCAGCACAACTTTCGTGCATCGCCGCAACGTGGACCGCCCAGCCGAAACTTCGTTCGCGAATTTTGTTTACACCACATGAGCTCTGAGTCACTTATACATATTGTTTATATGAAAGTTCAAATAATAGAGGCAGTTGTAAATAAATTTATATCTATACTTTTATAACACACAACAACGGGATATCGATTATCACAGGAATGTTGTCACAAACATCGTATGATTTCGGCACGCGATAAGTCGTTTTTCGAGGATTCGATTTTCCTGAAATCAGTTATCATCAGAGAACGATTTCGCCCAATTCAGATGAGGACGGTGCGACCCGCTACTAACCATCGAAGCTCACCAACCACCACAAAACTTTTAGCGCCCTACCGTACAAATTTTTCATAACCACGCAGCTCACACCGTCTAAATGGAAAAATCTGATAACGGTAGCAAAGTGGGCGGAGCTTCCCAGGCTCTGCCCCATCCTGAGTTCACTTGAATCTATAACTGTTATTTACACGAAGTCTCACCTGCCTAAGGGTGTCTACCAACGTTGCCTGACTAATGCCTGTCGTCTTGGTGTCATGACAAATGGCTCTGAAATAACGTAGTACTGAAGGAGACTCATCCCTGGGCTGGCTACCAAATCTAAATATCCAACCTGGCGTCGTCAACCTGTCCTATGATGGCCTTGGCTTCTTGGAGTTCCTTTCTAAGCCGTCTCTGTTGCTCACGAAGGGTATCCGCCTCTCGACCTAATCCAAGTCTCTGGAAAAAGTCAATTCAGAAAGAGTTAATGTTGTAACTGAAATAAAAGATAAAAAAATAGATAAAGAATATACCTTATCGACAGCCTTCCGTTGATTAAACCGAGCATCCTTGCATAGATCTGGAATGGACAGTAATTAGAGTGATTGGCAGCACCTTACGATGCAGCCATTGCTCAAAATGGGCGTGTTCACTTACAGTGTGCTGAATGGTAGTCGCCAGCGGCGGATTCGTAGCCAGACGATGCTGAATAGCTCTGACGTTTCTTCTCACGGCACTGTGACGCTGCGTCGTCAGAACCTCGGCCACTGCTTGGAGGGCCGTCGACCAGTCGCGGATCGGTGACCTGAAATCAGTGATTTTCTCACTTTAGAACTAACATTCAAGCGCTTATGCAACAAGGGTGAGTATGCCGATCGATTTCGCAGTTTTTGAGAAAGGTGTGAGCTTTAGGTTCGAAAACGCAATGAATTATGGGTGCAGGGTCGACCGGTCGCAGATCGGTTCGGACCAACGGCTACTTTAGTTTGAGAATCTTCCAAAGATTCAGCAGTTTGGTAACATAATAAGTGAGACATTTTTGTCAAAATTACCTCAGAGCTTGCCCAACTGCCCCTTCTTGCCCAACCCATCCGTCCCCGTCCCGGCTAATCCCGAGCTTAATTTCAGTTCGGGGCCAATGATGTAATGGCTCGTGAAATCACATTAAGCCTGAACATCATTCCGCCAAAGTCGATTAGGAGGCCAGAGGAACCGAATCAAACAGCGCAGCCACCTGATGGTCCCACACGGCTTGTCTATTGTCTACCGGGATTATGGAAATCTATCAGGAAATTCTTGGATACTCTCAGGAGCGCAAATCCTAAGGTTTCTTCCGCGACATTAAACTTGTGGCAAGAAGGTACAGATTAAATTATAGAGCGTTGTTAATTTTCATTGTACTCTCGTTATCACTACACATCGCCTCATGGAGGCGGAGGTGATGTATTGACAAGTGGCACGATAACCCCACATGCATGGTCAGGAAGTCATATGCTTGGATAGGCTCCTGCTCAGCAGCTCAACGGCTAAGACTTTACCTATTTTGTTTTTCTCTTCACAATTCTCCGTACGCAAAACACCTAGCCTCAGCTGGACCTAACGCTGAACGGATTGGTGCGCTAACAATTAAAACACCGAGTCTGCCTTCTGTCCTAACCGCAGCTTATGGTAGTTATTGCGGTACTATCATCAGAATGTCATAGACGAAATATGCTTGTGATCCCTTCAGATGAAAGGGCTGGAAAGGGACGTGAGCTTGACCACCGCCAGAACACTGCTCCCCACCACTTGTTGCAAGATCGTGATGCCACTGATGGAAAGGCCTTGGCAGCTCCCCAATCCACACCTGCCGCCCTATCGTTTGCAGGGATTCATGACTGTACTTTACTAGAATAGCTTATACAGTGGCACTTCCTTCGAGGGTGGTTCTTGACTCTAAGCTTGAGAGTAGTCAATACCTTTGAATATGGCGACGGAATCGCCGTTTTCTCTCTTCGACCCTCTTCAGAGACCTTCCGTTCACGTCGATCGGTACGTGGTTTACTGAAATATTTCGAAAAAGTAACTAAACGAGGGCATCTAATAATTCAGAAGAAAATGTGCACTATTCTAGAAGTCTCATTAAGCCCACCTGCATCGTCTGACATGCGTTCCATCGACCCAGTGCGCTTTGATAATGCCATTTTTAGCGTGATGTGACGGTGATGGCAACGTCGGTGCGGCACAGTTCGTCAACGACGGGGTCCTGAACTTGAGTTTTTTTTCCGATGGCAGACCCGTGAAGAGGCCATTGGCAGCCTTCCAGCAGTCCGTTACACCTTGCAGTGGTGCAAACAAGCTGTTCTTCGTGATATTGTGGAGTGTCGTAGGAAAGTGAATCCGACGGCGCACGGCTTGTTTTTGACTGAAAGTATCGCTGGACATTAATTAGGCTAATCAGACGTGCAAATGAAGATTAATTACCTCGGCTTCGATCCCAACGCCAATCCATGCAGTTGTTGAGTGATCTGACGAGCGATCGCCAACGGCAGTGAACGTCCATTGAGTTCCTGAAAAAGTAAAGGGCTAGTGCGGCTCTGATGTGATTGCCGTAAATGCTTGAAAAAATAGGTAGGCAAGACCGTTATCGTTTGTCCATTTTCATTCGTATCTCGTCGTGCATACATGCTTCAAGTTCTTCCTTCCCTTGGCGTGCAAGTTCATATTCGTGTTCTTCTCTCTAATTCCTTCTTTTTCCTTCTCGGCGATCCTATAGAGACATGACAATTAACTTTTTATTTTGGCAGTGAGAAATGGCAAGCAACACTAATCGATTATCGATATGACATTAACGATCGCTTGAGTAATTAATAGTATCAGTTCAGATGGAACTCTAGAGCAAACAGCGAACGCAAAATACAATCTGGAAGACAATGACAAAGAGCTTAAAGGAATCATAATGTACAGCTTTGTTCGCTGTGCATACTGTGACGCGTCGGGGAGGGGGGGGGGCAGTGAGCTTGGCGCGATGGTTACAGGGCACTTGTTAACCGGACATACTCTCGCTGCGAGGGTCAGAGGTATTTTCTCATAACATCTACTGGCCCAGCAGTTGAAGGGAGAAGGCAACGTAGGAGGGGAGATAGGAGGAAGGGAGGAGTAAGAAAGAAGAAGAAAGGAGGAAGGAGGCTCCTCGGTTGACAAGTATCCTGAGACGGAGCCAACCCGTTCTCTACCAGCTCTTGTCGCGTGCCCTCTTCAACAAATGGTGTAGGACGGGCTAGCGCCGCGCCAAACAAATTCTCCTAACATGTCTCAGCATCAGAATCCAACAAGGCTGTATGCTGTAAATTGTTCACATCTACACATACTTATCAATATATCGGATGGGCATTGATTGGTATCACGCGCGTAACTATGCATGTAATCAATATTTTGCGCTCTACACTTCTCTCTACCCTCAGGGCTCATGGCAATTTTGTGAGCAAATCAGAAGGCTGCTAAGAAAACTACGATAGAAAGAGGAGTACCGTTTTTTAGCTTTTCTCGTCAGTAAACTGATAATCAAAGTTCAACACTCAAATAATAAAATTATCTTCCTACCTTCGGCTCTCGATGGCATTCCAGTCGACGACCGTACTACCCGATGACATCATCGAATTTTGGCAACAGTTCAAGATCAGTTTACTTCGTTTCTTCTTCATTTTATCGTCGTCCAGTTCCTGTAAGGAAACTTTGAAGTAGAGCAAGTAAGATTTGCCGATAGAAAACATGCAACAGCGTTTATAACTTTCCAGGAAAAGAAGCGACATTAAAATCTTTCGTTGCAAAAAGGCCGCAGTGAAAATTGAATTCCGAAAAATTAGTGAACGATGCCCGCGGCAAACAAGACCGGAGCAACTGGCGGTAACTGGTGGTTAGCTGTCAGCATCTGTCCAGCTGATGCATGACGGCGGGTCGTTTATGCAATGAAGGGTGTTAAACAACATTAATCGATTATCGATTAGATGCGCGAAACCAAAGTCTTCGTGTACA